CTTTAAAACAGCTTTTTGTCTGAATATTTCAGGAGTCTTAGATTTCTTTTCTTAAAGTATATTGAAAATTAAAATCACAATAAAAAGAACAAAAAAGATGTGCATACTTTAAAATAATGGTAATAAGGGTAGAGAAACAACTGTAACCTGCAAAACATCAAACATTCTCCTTGAAACAGGAGAATTTTCTGGGATCTGCCACAGCTCTCTATAAAATAGAGCAAAGTTCAGATTTCCTCAAATGTGTCACAGTTCCAAATAGAAATGGCAAACAGAACATTCCTTCTATTATGGGATTTGCATGATACTGTGGGAAGAAGGAAAATTAAGGGCTGAACAAGAGAATTCTGATAGTGGTAAATGCTCTGAAGAAATTAGAGCAAGGTGATATGTTAAGTATTTGGAGAGTCAGTAGTCAGGGGTCTTTGAGAGGATGGTGTTTGAATTTGGACCAGGATGACCAGAAGATACCTGGCAAATATCAGGGATCAGTATGTGCCAGGAAGGGTATGAAGTAAAAGGAATCTGAGGCAGAATGATCTTAGAAGGGTTAGAGAAAAATGAGAAGGTGATAATTGCTGGCCTGAGCCAGAGGGAGACATGATAGGAAAATGTAATGTTATAAGCTATGTGAAGTAATTGAATACAGTTAGAAAAATCAGGAGGTAAGAGGAATTGTAAGTAAACTAATTTCATCTTGTTTTAGCAGGGCACCAGTATATACTTCTAAAGTTAACATATGCTATTAAATACAACAATGGCTCCAACTTCTTAAAAATTTAAATGTAATTTCTTAATACTTAAAATATTAATATCTCTTGTGGTCAAAAAAATTTTAAAGAAGTTAAGCATTCTCTTGAGTTGTATTTTTTTTTTCTCCCTTCCTCTGGTAAATTTAAAGTAACATTGGTTTGATTCCAGTTTTGTAAAATTAGTTTCTGTACTTCCTTTTCTCTCTCCTTTTTATTAGATATACATCTCTCTGTCACGATCCTCCTGCTTTGACCTTCCATCTATGCTACCTAAGTGCAACACCACACTGTGCTAGTTTTCAAATAGGATCTTGCTATGTTTCCTAGATTAGCCTAGAATTTGTAATCCTCCTGCCTCCACCTCTTAGGTCACTGGGATTACAGATACACACCACTGCCTTTAGGTTGAATGAAGAATCAAGCTCAGACCTTCCTTTGCAGAGCAGTGTCCTTGTTCTATTAGTGCTCTGGGCCCCTTCCTTCCTGATATGCATCAGATATCTGGAATGATGTTCATCAAATGGCTGTGGTTTTCTTTTGTTTGTTTGCTTTTATTTTTTTTTTTTTACTATAGGGCACATGCACTTGCCAAAGAAAGTGAGAAACTACCCTCCCCCAGGGGGTTGGAGGAGATGACCACACCTCAGTCTCTTCTCCAGGCTCCTCTCAGGATTTTGGACATGTGCACACATGTGCCCTGCATGATTTTTCAAGGCACTGGCTTCAGGAGTTAAACCACTCAACTGATCACATGAGATCCAGTACCTTAATCTCCACACCACATGCTGGCCTCAATGGTGGTTATTTTTATTTGTATTTGGTATTTACTTGTTTTATTCTTAATTTTGTAACAGTTACAAACTGTCATCTAATTGTTTTGATGTTAATACTTCGTGGGGTTTTTGATATTCTAGAAATTTTTGCTTTTAGCTTCTTTGGCTTGAAAAATTAACTGGATGATTTTGAATTTTTTTTTTTTTTTTGGTTTTTAATTTTTGCCAGAGGGTGCATGCACTTGCCAAAGAAGTGCACTCCGTCCTGTCGGACTTAGGACAACATACAGATGTGGCTGTGTATTTTTAAGCAGCCAGGGCTGGGTTTCAAACTGTGGTTGGTCATATAGGAACCAGTTCCCTTAACCACTAGGCTTGGGGCCAGCCCTTGAGTATGTTTTTCTCTTTTCTGCTTTATTTCTACCATGTTAATTTAACCCAAGATCTTTCATCAGTCTTTTACAAATAATAGTACTGATTTTTTTAACAAGATACTAAAATATGGACAACTTTACTAACTTATTACTTAACCTTGTCTAAATTCATGATTTGAACCCTTTCTTCCAGCCCATCATATTAAACAGAATCTTTAATTTTTAATTATTTTTACATTGATCTTTAATATCTTTCTAGAGGTGAGACTTATAAATTAACTCCTTATAATAAATTTTAGTAGCTAATGGCTATTGAAATGACAGAATTAAAAATTACTCTTGCCGTTAATCAATTTTTCTTTGGATATGGAAGTTTTGGAATCCTCAGCTTCTATTTTAATATATTCTGCTTAATAATATTTTCAAGACAACTTATATACTTTAATTTCACAAGTAAATGCACATCTCAGAATAAGCATTCTTGTCAATAACTTCATTTTAGAGAAGTTGATCTAATGTATTCATGTTGTCTTGTGTTGAGTAACTGGATCCAAGATTGTTCTTTGAACTCAAAGACTAAAAGTATGAACTACTGTATCAGGTTGGATTACTGTTCCCAGTGTTTGACTCCCTTTATGTTTTGGGTTTACATGTTCATGCATTTTACTATGAAACTTTATAATACTTCAGATGATTGACTAAGTGAAATGCATTTCCTTGCTGACTTCAATAGAACTGGATATGCGACCTGCTTTGGCCAATGAAATGTGAAGGTAGACAGAAGTCCTGCGTGTGCAGCACTCATTGCCATTTGTCTTAGCCGCCTGTGCTTCTGCCATCTGCCCCAGGTAGTTCTTGTCTCACAGTAATCAAGGCATGGAAAGATCTGAATCTGACATGCAGCCTGAAGTCTAGTCAAGCCCAGAGAGTGTAAAGTCAGTGCAAATAAGTTAAACTATAGTGGACGCATAGACTCATGAATGAGAAAAATACCAAATATTTATTTGTGTAAGTCACTGAGATTTTGGAGTCATTTTTCTGCAGCTTTATGTAGCAATGGGGGAAAGAGTCTTAAAAAAAGACACAAAATGAGTGTTAGTCTTAAAAAAAGTCACAAAATGAGTGTTCTTTCAAATTTCTTTCAAATTTTTTTGTACCAAATTAACTTATTCTTTATTCCACTTCTATGAACTTTCTGAAGTATCCTTATAGGTAATTAATTGGTTGCTTTTAAAAAATAGGTATGGTAGTTTATTTCTGGTCTTATACACACGATTACTGAGAAACTTGAGATCTTCATTCGTTCAAGTGATCTGAATTAAAGTTGTGGTTCTACCACTTATTAGTTCTATGCCATTGAAAATGATCTATTTTGGGACCAGCAGTTAGTATAATGGCTATGTCGCTGGACTCCCATGTAGTCGACGGTGGTTTGCGTCCTGGACCTGGTGGCTTAAACTCACGCCCGGCGCGTGTGCGTGCGTGCCCAAGATCCTGAGAGGAGAATGGAGGAGAAAGGATTGTGGCATGGCCATCCCCCCTGGGGGATGATTTCTGGATTTCTGTCTCTCTGTCTGTCTCTGTCTGTCCGGCGAGCACACGCACCCTATAGCAAAAACCTCTCAAAAAAAAATGAAAATGATCAATTTCAGTATGCCTAAGTTTATTTTTAGAAGTTTTTGCCTTAGGCCACTTGTGTTTGCTGGAGAGAGAGACAGAGACAGTGAGAGAGAAAGTGAGAGATCACCCGCCAAGGGAGATAGACGTATTGCAATCCTGTCTCTTCCATTCTCCTCCCAGGATGTTGGGCACACACATACATATGCCTGGTGTGATTTTCAAGTCACCGGGTCTGTATTTGGAACCATAGTCAGCCATGTGGGAATCCAGTGACATAACCATTATGCCATCTACTGACCCCAGTATGCCTGAGCTTTATCTTTTGTAAAACTTGCCTGATAATACTTTCTCTACAGGACTAAAGATATATGTAGAATAATTTATTATAAGTGTATTCACTATATAGGATTCAATAGTAACTATTATTTAATATTCACATTGGATATATTCTACATTTATTCTATATTTAGCATAATTCTAAAATGTATTATTTACCACTTTATAATATGTCCTTACCATGGCTTTTTGAAAATTAATGCAAATCATATTATATAGATAATAATTCTGTTCTGAATAAATATAGACATTTGAAACTTATTTAATTAAATAAATATGTATATTTAAATCCTTTTTATAAATATTATGCATTTATGTAATATATAAAGACTTAGTTAGAGCACCTATTCAGTCTGAGAAGTGCCAAGATACTTATTTTTGTGAGTTATTTTTCAGTCACAATAAGACAACATGACATTTCAAACCAATCCACAGACTGTAGAGAACAGAGCTGGGTGCAGGGATGGAAAATGGAGAGAACTAGTTTTTTGATTCAGTTGATGAAAGTTTCTGAAGATAATAAAGATAATGAAATTATCCACAGATAACTATCAGTGACTACAACTAAACTATGTATATGTTAGGTAATTAGAAATAAGTTTCTGGGGGAAAACATCAACTATATTCTGTGTTGTTGATTTAAAAAAATAAAAGTGAATTGTGTAAGTACTGGGTGGTGGTGTCCAGATTGGCTTTTAGACTTGTTTTCACAGGAGCTAAGTCATGTCCTGCATATGTACTGAGTGACTTCTGTGTAACAGGCACTGCATATGTCAGGCTAAGTGAATTGGTGAATAAAACAAATTTGGTCCTTCCTCTATGGAGTTTACAAACTTGAAGGAAGCTATAAGGCTGTCTTCAATTTTTTTCTTTCAGTTTTTCAAAAACACGTAGCTCTTTTCAACCTCTGGTCAGGACCCTTCCACATGCTTGCAATTACTCTTCTCTCTGCCTAGAATGCTCTTCTTTCCTTGACGGTCAACTCTTGGGGTGTTGGAAAAGTCATGACATATTTTTTTCTGTTTTTCAAAGGTCATTTACTTATATAAGGAGCAAAAATAAATCAATGATATATTTCCTATTTTGTTCGATAACCTTTTGCCATATTTCAGTGAGTTTCATAATTCCTTGTTTTTTGCTATCAGCAAAAAAACTGAACAAGGACCTGATTTATAGCCTCCATTTGAATTGAACGTTATACCATGCAAAGAATTTTGAAGAGAGTAAAACAAATGGAAGTCTGATGGTGCAAGATCAGGTGAGTGTGGTGGGTGTGGCAACCCATCCCATCCAAGCTCCAATCATTTTTGACAGGTGAGCAAACTTGGGGTGTGTGATCTCTGATCTTATATTGTCATGATGGAGCATAACTCCTTTATGATCAACGAGCTCTGGACATTTATGAATGATGGATTCTTTTAAACTGTCCAATTGCCGACACTACACATTCAAATTGATTTTTTGGTTCCTTGGTAGATGCTCAAAAAGCACAACACCTTTAAAATTCAACCATACAAGGAGCACAGCTTTCCTCTGATGAATGTCTGTTATCAATGTCGTTTGAGGTGAATAATAACATTGAGATCAAGACCGTTTTCATGCCACATTGTTGTAAACAATCCACTTATCACCAGATATCAGCTGCTTCAAAAAAATGATAGTTTTCCCCACGTGTAATGAACATATCACAGATGTTTATACATACCAACTTCTTTAAGTTCACAAGGAACCCAAATATTGAGCTTTCTTACATATCCCAGCTTCTTCAGGTAGTCCTGAACACTTGAATAATAGATGTACAATGTTTCTGCAGTCTCTCATCATGTGTAACATGGGTTTTATGCAATCAATGCCTTTATATTGTCTTCACCAACCTTGGTGAGCCTCTCTGACCAAGGAGCATCATTGAGATAAAAGTTACCAGCATGGAATTTTGTAAACTATTGTTGGCACTAGTGTTCTTCTAGAGCACTGTCACTGTAAACTTTATGCAACTTTTCACTAGCTTGACACTCATGCTTCCATTTACAGAAGTAAAACAGTAAAATATGGCAAAAATGTACAGTTTGATCTTCCATATTCAACTTGTAAAATCTCCAAAACTCAACCAAATCACTTAATCTTTTTTTTTAGAATGAAGCTAGAACTGTCAGCTGTCAAATGATATAGCAATAACATAGATCCAAATCACTCTAGTACTTCCAAAAACGAACTAGTGCCATCTGTTACAAAAATGTGTCATGACTTTTTCGACAACCCAATGTGTGTAATAACATACAGTGAATTGCTCTAAAGCAACTTAAATGAGTGCAGAAATAAGAAGGTAATACTTTCGCAGGATTCTGAATAATAAAAAAGAACAGACTTCTGACAGCTTAGAGACAGGAAGGAAATCTGTCCTTCCCAGAAGTGAAAAGAGCAGGTTTGGTTAGTGCATAGAGAATAATGATGAGAATGGGAGCTGGGTTATGCCAGGTTGTTGACCAGGTATGCTATGGAAAAGGGTGGGGATTTTATTCAACATGCAGAGGAATGTAAATGAAATATTTTAAGAGAGGTACGTAAGTAGGTTCTATGTTAAACATCTTACTCAATGTGGAGAATAGATTAATGGAGGGGAAGGGAGGAAATGGTGGGGGCCTATTACAGAAATTCAGGTGCAAGGTAATTGTTCACTTAGAGTAGAATGACAGTAATGAAAATAGAAGTGGAAAGATTCAAGAGAGATTTTGTACGTAGAAATAGCAGTTTGGTTTGTTTGGATTGCATGTATGGAGTGACTTTGAATGTTAAAGACAACTTCCAGGTTTCTACAAAGTTGAATAACAATGGTCAAAGGAGATTGCTGGTTAGATTTGTAGACCAGGCTGCTGACTGGAGACATGCCTAGATGACTGATCAGGAATAACATTGATTTAAAGAGGGGCTTTGATCCTAAAAACTAAAGTACAGACAGAGGACAGTGGCAGGTGGGATTCAGAGAAGAGAGGCGCAGACAAGCAAATGTCTAGACGGGTCATGTTCACAGGCTATTCTTAGACTGGGGACCTGGGCCCATCATCATGTTTTAAAACAGCACTAAGCAACCAAGACAGGGTGGGAAGCAGCCAAAAGGGAGATAAAGTAATGAATGTGAAGAGATTTCAGAAGCAAGCACTTTTGAAAAATAATTACTGGTTGCATGATCTTGTGTAAGTTTTTTGAATTAACCTTTCAGAACCTCAGATTCCTTATTTATAAAATAGGATGAAAATATTTACTTCATATGTTTGTTCTGGAGATTAATTCAACCAATGTTTACAAAATACTTGCATATAGTGGATGCTAAAATTGTAGTTCTCTTGGCCTCCCTACTGTGTAAATTAATTCATATTGTTGATAGCTCTCACTCATTCAGCTATCTGACTAATCAAATTCTCATAGTAAAGGATTTGTTTTTTGTCCAGCTTGCCTCAAGGCCAGGAGTGGGGAGTTGGGAGATAGGAATGGGAAATAATGGAACTAACGATTATGGTAAATTCTAAATACATGGTGTATTCTAAATCATGCTACATTATGTACCATATTACATGGTATTGGATTCTTTAATTCTTTTTTTTTTTTTTTTTTGGAGAGATTTTCACTGTAGGGCGCGTGCGCTCACAAAACAGACAGAGAGAGACATAGAGACAGAAAGCGAGAAATCACCCCCCAGGGGGATGGTCACGCCGCAATCCCTTCTCCTCCATTCTCCTCTCGGGATCTTGGGCACGCATGCACACGTGCCCGGCCTGAGTTTTAAGTCACCGGGTCCGGGACACGAACCGCGGTCGACTACGTGGGAGTCCAGTGACATAGCCATTACGCTAACTGCTGGTTCCCTAATTCTTATATTTTCAGAGTAGCAACTTGGTGAGCATAGTGTTATTTGCTTTCTTTTATAAATAACAACATACAGGTAGAATTTTGGAGATCAGAGCAAAGTTAGCTAATTCTTGCCCTAAGAACTAGGATTAGAATATGCTGGGTCTGATGCTTATACATTTCTTCTTCTATGTTGCACATTCTCTGTAAAAGAGAATACTTTCTGAGTTTTAGGTCTTAGGCCTTAAAACAAAACAAGTCCTCATTCCCAAAGCAGGAAATTGTTATTATCTACAAAACAACCCCCCTCACTACCATGACCCTGGAAGGTGGACAGAAGAGCTTTATTTGTGGGAAATAGTTAGGGAAAACTAACCCTCCTTGAATTTGATAGAAATGAGTCATTCATTTATGCAGTTTAGTCCTTCTTTTTTATTTTAGAGATGGGAGACTACTGAGACCTTAAGGGTTACATAACACCCTGAGATGGTTCAGCTAGTTACATTTTAGCTATTTTAGTTCAATAGTCTTTCAGTCTGTGTATGCTGCGTTAGGCCTCTTATCTTTAATAGCAGCAATAATTTTTCTCAGTAATATGACCCATGAAACAGACACACATGCACACACTTATATGCACATAGCCCTCCTTTTCCTTGGCTGTCTAATTGTGTCAATTTTATTAGATTTAAAACAGAACTTCTAATTTCTCTGCCTCAGACATGCTCCACCTATTCCCATGGCTTTCTTCTTAGGAGATAGTAAGTTCAATATGTTAACCTCAGTCATTCTTGACTCCCTTCTTTCTAGGGAATAAACATTCAATCTTTCAGTCCCATTTTAAATTGTCACCACCTCTTCTGTCACTTTCCAACAATATCTTTTACCTGGACTACTTCATAAGCTCCAGAGTAGTCCTCCTGCCTTTCCTCTCTTCCCTGTCCTCTTTCTTGCATTCTCCTCAAAGCCAGGTTGATCCATTTACAACATAAGATCCAATTTAATGACATCTCAGTTCTGTTTGAGCTGAACTCTTCAACATCGTGGTCTACTTTTCTTTCCTACTCCCTTCACTCCAGCTACACTGGCCACTTTTTAGCCTCTCAAACATGCTAACAAAGTGTCATCTTAGGACTTTGTACTTGCTATTTATTCCTTCTGCATAGAACATTCTTCTCCCATATATGCAAATTGGTTACTTCTGCACCTTTTTGACATCTATGCAAAAATATCACTTTGTCAGAAAGGCCTTTCTTGATCACTCATTATTAAAGAGAAACATCCTTCCTATATTCCCGTTCTCTTTCTCCCTTCTGCTTCATTTCACCCATAGCATACATCACCACATAACATCATTTGTTTATTGTCTATCTCAGCACATCCTCTATCCTGCCTTGCATGTGAAATCAATGAGTACAGGGGCTATTTGTCAATTTTGCTTCCAAATGAGAATAATGCCTGCATTAAACTAGGCATTCAATTCATATATGTTGAGTGAATGAATTGATGTTAATATTTACAATACAACATATTATTCTTATAGTTGGGGTCTAATTTTTTAAGTATATTCATTGCGATTTTTAAAAAATCATTCTTAGACCCCCAACCTCTTGATATACTATAATTAATTATGACAGGAACTATTTCCAGTTTGGGAGAATAACAATTTCTATAGTAAATCTTTACTATAAAATGGGCTATATTATAGACATTTCCTACAAAAATATTATAAAATAAAATACATCTCTCTTTTTTTTTTAGAGAGATTTTTGCTAATAGGTACATGTGCTTGCTGGAGAGACAGAGGGAGGCAGAAAGACAGAAAGCGAGAAATCACACCCCACCATTGGGGGATGGGCACAGCACAAACCCTTGTCCATTCTTCTTTCAGGATTTTGGCATGCACACACATGTACGCAGCATGGAATTTTAAGCTCCTAGGTCCAGGACTCAAACCACAGTAGACTACGTGGGAGACCTATGACGTAATCATTACTCCATCTGCTGGTCCTAAAATACATCTCTTTTGAGCTCATTTCCTTGTGTTGAATTTTGTAATATTTTCATACACTAGATTCTGCTGCATTTATTCTATTTGCCTTAACATTTGATGCTTATTATATTTGAGGAGCTGAAATGAAATAAAAATGAAAACCTTTTATAATGCTATCAACAGATATACTATCAAGAGTTTTTATCTATTTTTAGTAAGTTTTAACATGTCGTAGGACAAGCAAGGATTCTATTGTATTTTTCCAACTTAATTCTCAATGACCATCATTTGTGCTGCAGAGATGAAGGTCTGCATTTTAACTTGTCTTTCAGGTAAACTAAACTGTCGTATTGAATTTCGAAACATGTGCACTTGAAATTGGAAGTCCACCGTCAGTAAGGAGAACCTGCTCTAGCCACATCTTGCCTCCTCGCCTGTGATGTGATACGACTAATCTCAGCTGAACTACTTGAGATGCTTGTTACTGCTGCAATCTCAATGAATTTAGAGTGGTAATCAATTAACAGTAAATAGGTTTCTTTGTCAATTTGGAAGCATCCCAATGAAGGTAAAGAGAGAATGGAATAAGGTGATAAATAATTTATAGCTGAAAAGCATCTCTAATTTCTTCTGCCGACTTATAGGTTCTAGTTTTTTTTTCTTGGAGGAAACATGAGACTAATAATCAGAAACCTGGGACATAAATTAACTGTGTAAGAATGAGATATTTAAATTTAAAGATGTGCTAATTTTGCTTCTTACCTCTGGATTTTATATATAAATTGCAATTGCAAAGGGCCATTTGTCACTGACCCTCTGAGGAATTCTTTACTATTTCTCTCTTATTTTGCTCTTTCTCTTGCTCTTTCCTCCAGGATCATTTTCCAAATTACTTGCATCTCTTTTTGTACCAATAAAGTGAACCTATTAATGTACACACAACAAATTGCTATTTTTATCTTCCTTTTGGAAGTCTTTTTGTATATCTGAAAGTCTCAACTTGGCTAGGCTTCCCTTTATTAGTATTTTGACAGCTTGGAGATGACAATGAGGATATTTAGAGCTCTGAAACTTGGATGCCCTGTAAAGACTCTTGCCCAGCATGTATGTAATTCACCTTTAATTACCTGTCTACATTCCCCTGCTCTGTCTCTGTGTCTGTAATAAAGACCTGTCTTCCCTAGCTCATTCCCTGAGGCAATGAGGATTCTGTGGTACAGTACATGGGAACTTCAAAACATTTGTGGAAAATGGAATTAAAGTATGAACTTCTCTTGGTGCAAAAGATTTTTGCAATTCCTGCATAATTTTTTTCATAGTACACATTTTTCATGAGCTGTTTGAATATCTCTCATATTTTAGCAGTTCTTTCCCCACCAGTCATGTCTGGGATAATGAATTCACAATATATTAGAGCTTACCCGTTCTCATTATGCACTAATAAAGTCAGTGTGCTGACCAGGAGGTCAGGCTTTATGACCTTTTCATCTGAATCTTCTACTCCCTCTCCCAAGGGTAGAGGCTAGTCCTAACTCATAGTCTATTGACTAGATCTCTGGATTTCTCTTTTAGATTTTGTCCATTCCTTAACCTGGTTTGATCATATTTTTTAAAATAATTAATTAATTAATTTTTTATTGACCATATGGACTTCTTTTATCTGGAGCACTAGTACACATAATCTTGAGAACTGTCTCCATCTTGAACTTTCTCACCTTCTATGAAGCTACCCTTCTCCCTTGAAAAGGACCCTTAGATATTGACTCCAGTCCATGTTGAAAAATGAGAACTCCCTGGTCTCATTGAACTTGGTGATTTTGTGTTCCTGGCAAGAGTCAAATCATTTGCCTTTCCAGATCTTCTCATCCTATGCTAGTTTTATTTAGTTTTGGGGATTTAAGAGTTTGATGAGATCTCAATGTAGTACATGTCCAATAAAAGTAAAGGATTACTTTCTTTAGCCTCTTTATATGAACATAAACAGTTTTAAGTTTTAGGGTCCTCATTTGCACATGCTCCATGCAAATGTCTTGGCAGGATTTTCAGTAATATTTTCACTTAGACTATTTTTTTTGTAACTACAAACATATGATATTTCAACTATAACCAGTTAAAACCACTTTCTTTTTTCTTTTCTTTAAAAAACAAAAACAAAAACAAAAACAAAAACAAAAAACAAAAACAAAAACAAAAACAAAAAACAAAAACAAAACAAAACTTCTCTCCCCTATTTCTGCTTATGTATGGTGGTACTAAAGTGAGCCAGGACATTTTTGTGGATACGGTTATGAAGATTGTGAGTGAGAGACATTCAGTTTGGGTTTATTGGAATGGATTTATGTGCTTAGAAATTACCTCTATAAGTAAGTGATGGCTAGTAAGCCAGCCTGGGAGGTACATAGCTCAGACTTTCCTTCAAGAGAACGCGTTGGCATGCTTCCTGCAGCCACCACACCTTTGGATCCATTAGAGCATCATGTCTACAACCAGGCTCTTCTTAGACCACTGTCAGCCAATGGCAGGACATGGCTGGAATTCCAGAGCTGGACAATTCTTGCTAATGCAAAACACCTCTAAGGGGTGATCATTACTGTGAGCTGAGACTTTCTTAGAGCTGCACTACAGTTTGAAGCACTTCCCATCCAACCTTCCTTCCTTTTGTCTTTCCTATCACCACTGTCAGGCCTTTATTATGGATTGAATGACTCTCCATATTTCTCCATGTTTTTTGTTCCTTCTCTTCATTAACTTTTTTTTTTTGAGAGGTTTTCACTATAGGGCGCGTGCGCTCGCCAGACAGACAGAGAGAGACATAGAGACAGAAAGCGAGAAATCACCCCCCAGAGGGGATGATCACGCCGCAATCCCTTCTCCTCCATTCTCCTCTCGGGATCTTGGGCATCTCCTCTCGAGATCTTGGGCACGCACGCACACGCGCCCGACGTGAGTTTTAAGCCACCGGATCCGGGACGCGAACCGCAGTCGACTACGTGGGAGTCCAGCGACATAGCCATTACACTAACTGCTGGTTCCCTCTTCATTAACTTTTGTGGGCATTTCTCTCAATAAATCACTCACACTTCTACTCCATCTTGTTGTCTACTTCACAGAGGACATGAATCGATCGACATACTGAAAGGTTTCATAGGAGAGCTGTGTCAGACCTTGGGTTAAAATGAGAGGTTTAACTGACTCTGATGCTAGTGATTACCATATTCTATTTGCACATGCGTAGTGATCTATCAACCAACCTTTGATTTCTTAACTCAAACTTCAAGTCATAGTCATCTATTCTCCCTTATCTTCATTTTACATTTCCCCCCCTCTCCCCCCGGTGTCATTGCTGAGACTGACTTTTGACCTTTCTTCAGTCTGAATTTCACTACTAGACCCATGCAGATTTTTTATTAATCTCTTTCTGAGATGACATACATCTAATATAATAGCAGTAACAAAACTCATGCCTCTATAATAATGACATCCATGACAAACTAGAAAACAAGCATTTTTAATTCAAAGAGCATTTATGATGAATCATTATTATAAAAAATTTGAAATGTTCCAAAATTTCACCAGCCGTTTGTGAAAGAAACTTAATGTTTCTTCAAATTTGACAACTATAAAAATTTATATAACTCAAGGGGATTTCAAAAAATTGTGGGAAAATAGAATTGAAGAACAAATTCATTTTGGTGTAAACTTTTTGGAGATTCATGCATAGGTTTTATATAATATGCATTTTTCATTAATTTTTTGAAGACTCTCATATAAAAACTGATAAAAACTTTCTCATAAACATTTATTGATTTATTTAACCAGCCATGCTAAAGAAAAGACTTATTTATCTAGCTGATATGGACTAAATTGTGTTCCCCAAAAATACATATGTTGAAGTTGTAACTTCTAATGTGACTATATTTAGAGACAGGGCTTACACGAAGATAACGAAGGTTAAATGAGGTCAGAAGGGTAAGGCACCGATGCAATAAGATGAATGTCCTCATAAGAAAAGACAGCAGAAAGCTCTTGCTAGTTCTAATTCTTCGACATGTGAAGATAGGGTGAGGAGGCAGATGTCTGTAAGTCATACCTATTCCTCACTAGACACTGAACCCTGCTGAGCCTTGATCTTGGACTTTCTAGCCCCCGGAGCTAAGAGAAAATAAATTTCTGTTGTGAAAACTATCTGATCTATGTTATTTTGTTAGGGTAGTCTGAATAGACTGTGACAATATCTTTCTTTTTTTTTTTTTCTATAAAACAGTGATTCTCAGCTGGGTGTGATTTCCCCCTCTTCTGTCTCAGGGTACATTCTATAGTATTTGGAGACATTTTTGATGGTCATGACTCAGGGGATACTTCTAGGATCTGGAGAGTAAAGGTCACAGATGTGCATAGAACAGCCTTCCTCCCAGCCTCACTCCTCTTGCTTCCAATGAAGAATTACTGGGTTCAAATGTCACTAGTACCAAGGTTGCAAAACCTGGGGAAACCCTATTATGGAAAATGAAGTTATAAAATCTCTAACAAAGAGGCAAATAAAGAGTAGATTGTCAATTATGTGGGAAAAGCATTATAGAGAGATGATAAGTGTTTAGTGAATAACTATCCTAAATTTTCTGCATTTTGTTACTAATGTTTTCATTAAAAAAATCTGTAATTTATAATTTTTTCTTGTCCTAAGTGTCAAAGAAAATGGGCAATGCCAAAGTAAAATTATGAAGAAAAAAATAATTTATTGGCCTTAACATAGCTAGTACAAAATAAAGTTCAGACCTTGGGGCATGCTGTCAGACCCACCAGCAGCAGGTCTAGATGGAAATGGCAACATATCCACCGACCCTGAAAAGGCTAGGGCTTTTCTACTCGTGAAAGGGTTACAGTACATGTAAGCTGTTCTGAAAAGGTTTTCATTGACACAGACAACAGTGGAGGGTCTTAGGGATTTAGGAAAAAAGATAGAACTGGGTGGAAGTCCATTAGCAGAAACTACCTGAAACAACTTGTTGGCAAGTGATGGTGATCTGTTTAGTAGGATTTGTGATCAGCCTAAGGCAAACTGAAGACATGGAATTATCTTCAGAAAGAAGATCTCACGTGAAATTCAGCTACTAGTCAACAGGGAGTAACCATAGGCCGAGTGATCAGTTCTTACTCTTCTTGGTTCTTCTTTTAAAATTTATATGGCAACCTCTTTTCCAGATACTGATCTTTACATAAATATAAAACTAATTTTTTATATGCAGTTTTATATTATGTTTTTTTTTTTTGAGAGATTTTCACTGTAGGGTGCGTGCGCTCACCAGACAGACAGAGAGAGACATAGAGACAGAAAGCGAGAAATCACCCCCCAGGGGGGATGGTCACGCCCCAATCCCTTCTCCTCCATTCTCCTCTTGGGATCTTGGGTACGCACGCACACGCGCCCGGCGTGAGTTTTAAGCCACCGGGTCCAGGACACGAACCGCGGTCGACTACATGGGAGTCCAGCTACATAGCCATTATGCTAACTGCTGGTTCCCTATTATGTTTTTAAGAGACACCCTCAAGTTTATG